GTAGAGAAGCCTAAACTTCATTGGGACATTCAAAGAAGAAATACTTCTTGATATTAGCAGACATGATAAGACAAGGAAAAGCAATTTTTATGCAATTATGTCTTCATATTCCCTCTTTTAGTACAATTGGGTGTCCTGGTTTACTTTGGACATTTTGATTTTGCATAGTTTAAGAAAAATGTTGAAAAAAATAAATTTCAGTGGTTCTTGGTGATACCATTGCGTATAGCGCCACCATCACTTGAACTTTTTGCGACGCACATTCCACAAATTGCATAGCAAACTTTACTCTCACTCGAGGAGATTAAGGCATTGTTTGTAAACAATATTTTCAATTAGTAGTAACATTTTAGATAGTTTTTCTAATAATGCAGGACTAATTTTGAAAATGTTATAGTATAAACATTGTTATTGGAACGATTTTTCAAAATATTGAAGTTAAATGTTAGCAAATGGGCACTAAAGAAATTGTATGGGATGAGATTCGATATAAATTATTCTAAACATCATAACCCGGAGAAGAGAAATGCTAGTTACAAAAATCATAAACTTGCAAAGTATGGACGAGAAGTGGAATAATCCCACTTTGACATCTCATTCAATAGCCCTACATATATTTTTATTATACGGAGTATTATATTAAATAATATTTACATAATATAAGTGTATAGATAATTAACTAGTACTTGATTTCAAAACTATTCTATTCAAATGAAAAAAATCATTTGACGTGATAAAGAATAAAGTTTGCATTATTTAATTTGATAATGTTTGCTCTTACATAAATAAAACAATATTCTATTCAAATGAAAATTATTACGTTTTTTTAATTTGGAATTAAAAGGTAAATAAAAATTTAAAAAACTACTCTGCATTAAAAAAAGATTTCATTGACATGATATAGTTAAAATTTATTTTTTTAAAAAAAGAAATAGCCATTTCACAATCTTACTCCGTATAATTGAACTAGTATTTTTAATCAACTAGCCGTTTGTTTATTTATTGAGTAAAGAATTAGCTGTTTATTAAAAAAAATAAAAAAAATATTATTAAGAGTTTAATTTAGAGCAAGGTAGTGGGAATTGCCATAAAATCCAATACGGCGTTAAATTCTTCGTATGCTTGGGACAGTTCCTTCAAAGTGGGACTGAACCCATTTTCATGCTATCAAGAGTCCCACGAATTACAATCATACATTATAAATTCATATATAAATGATAATTGTCTGTGTTCACAGACAATTTTTATAACTTATATAAAACTTATCTGTGATTGTTATTCGTGGAGACACCGGTGGTAAGTTTTTAACAATATTTTTATCGTAACATGGTCTTTGAATAATTACTCTTATGGGTGAACATGATACGGTATGATACAATATTTAGCTCGTACTAATACCATCCTGAGTATTTCAATTTGGTATGAGATTTTACGTCATATCGCTCTCGGTCTGAAGTATTAGTTCAAGATGATTCAGTATTGGTTTTGATATAAATCAAGATGAATATATATACATATCTAGTTTGCATTTTAAAATATAACAAAATTAAACTTTTCTTTTGAAAAATCGTAAGTATATTTAAATAAAAAATAAAAAATTTAAAAATGAACAATTAAATGTAAGAAATTCTTATTAAACAAACTTTATATTTCACAAAATAAAAAGAATAAATGATAACAAAATACTATTTTAAATGTTTGTAAATATTTTTATATTCATATACAAATAATTAAAATTCAAATTAAAGTATAATTTACACACAATAAAACTTAAACCAAATTTTCAAATTAAATGTATTATCTGATGAAGAAATATAAAGCGATCACTCCGTATTATCATATATGCTCGGTTTGAGATTTTTGATATGGAAGGTTATATTGTACCTTCTAACATACCGGACCGATCGTTCAATTTAATTCATTTTAATTCTTTTGTGGTATGTTTGAGAACATGAATTTGGATTTCAAATCCGGATTTGGATCAAATTCTATGTTTGGAAAACTTAAAAATTTTGAATTTGGATTTGAGTCAAATTTTTCTCATTCATAACAAAGCTTAATTTGAAATTCATGCATCTTCCTTTGTCATTTGAAATTCAAGATTTCAAATTTTAGAATTGAAATGCATAAATTGAAATGAAATGCTAGTTGCCAAACATTACCTTATGGTATTTTGCCAGTTCAATACCTTTCAATTTGATATTTTAATTTTTTTTGGGAAATTTTGGAATAGCTAAATCCTAAATTCCTAATTACTCCCATGGTCTCCATTGTGCCAAAAACGGCAGCTTTGTTGTGTCTCTGTCTCAAGCGCAAGCGTCCCCTCAAAAGTTAGGGTTTCGTTTTATGAATTCTTGATTGCTGCGGGCGTGCTGCCTCGGGTCCGGTATTTTTGCTAATTATTCAAACAAAATTGAAGCTTTCAGGTGACCCTTTTCTTCGATTTTGAATTGGTCGAACCAGTAGCTCAGATCAAATGTTCAATTTCGCTTGCAAGGCGATTACGCCTTTGAGGCTTAGGGCCAATAGATCTTCGCTAACTCTTATCCAGTTGTATGTAACCAAATCTGGGGATGAACCTTTAGAACGAGCGAAGAAGAAAAGCTCTTTTGTGGTTACTTATCTGGTGGATAAATGTGGGTTTCCTCCAGAAAGAGCTATTTCAGCTTCTAAATATGTGACTTTCAAAACCCCAGCTAAACCGGACTCTGTGCTTTCCTTCTTGAAAATCCATGGATTCACAGAAGCCCAGGTCTCCGAGTTAGTTCGAAAATGCCCTTCGCTTCTGTTGTGTCGTCCTCAGAATACCCTTTTGCCCAAGATTGAATTTTTCAAGTCTTTAGGTTTCACAGTGGAAGACTACACCACTATGCTGTGTGGATCCCCTTCTATTTTCACTAGAAGCTTAGAGAATTCCCTTTCCCCAACAATAGATTTCCTTAAACCGTTTCTGTCTTCTCCGGGTAAACTAAAAGTTCCCCTGAAACGAAATCCCTGGATTTTTTCCAGTGCAACCCGTTCTAAAATAAAAGAAAGCATTCAATGTCTGGCTGAAATGGGTGTGCCTGAATCAAGAATCGCGCACTATCTTCACCACCAGCCTAGGTTGTTCACCAGGGAGAAAGATGAGTTTGTAAAGGTTTTGGAGGAGGTCAAGGGAATGGGGTTTCGGCCATACAGGAAAACATTTCTGGTTGCAGTTCACGTGTTTTGTTCGATGAGTAAATTGACCTGGGAAAAGAAGATTTGTCTGTTTAAGAAGTGGGGGCTCACCGAGGATCAGATTCTTGATGGGTTTTTGAAGCATCCTTGGCTCATGGCGTCCTCCGAAGGAAAGATTCAGCAAGGAATGGAATTTTTTGTCAACAAAATGGGGTTCAAACCTTCTGATATCTTGAAAACCCCTGTCATGCTTATGCTTAGTTTGGAGAAAAGGACCATTCCTAGATGTATTGTTTATCAAACACTGACAGGGGAGGGTTTGTTAGAAGAGGACCTTAAATTACTTACTAGGATGTTGCTTGCGTCCGAAAAGAAGTTTGTTATCAAGTTTGTAAAGTGCTATGAGAATGAGGTTCCCAACTTGGTTAAGCTTTATCCTTGATCAGACTTGAAGCATCCAATTCATCTAGACAACCACTGAGGTGAAGACAGGCTTCTTGAGGTTTCACTTCAATTTGCTTCATAAATTTCAATCCATTAGACATTTGAAGCACCCAATTCATCCCATTTGGTACACATTAAATTCTGTCTTTTATTTTTTTCTACCATTGTTAAAAATCCCATTGTCGTGATGGACGTGACAAATGTGAATAGTCATCATTGAGGCAGCGATCATAGATAACAAGCGCAATGCCTATTTTCTCATTCTTTTCTGTTTTCTTTAACATGTAACACTGCTTTTTTCAATCCAAAAGAACGTAAGTTGATTCGTGATATTCTAGCTCTTCGTGAAATCATGAAAATGATTATGTAACTATTAAGAAGGTTAAAGATCTAGGTTTCTTTGTTCCTTGCAGCCCCATGTTTCTTTACTTTCAGATCTAGTTTTGGGATGGATGCGTTTTTTTCAGAAAGGGATGGAACAATGTCTTTAACCAAGCTTGAATAAAAAAATAACTTGGAGGACATAAATATTACTCTCTCCGTCGTAAAACGTTCTTCCCAGTTACTATTCACACGGTTAAATTTTAATCATTTTCTTTACCTCTTTTACTTAGTTGATAAAATAATATAATCTTGTCACCTCTTGTTTTCTTTTGATGTAGTTTTTAAATATATAAATTTTATATTTTTAATTTTACACCTACAATCAAATAAATTTAATTTTAGAATAAAGCCACTTCAAGAGGAAGGTCACAGTAAGGATCACCAGTCTGATCGTGTACTCAATGTGCCAAAGTTGATATAATCCGTATGTCACAGTGCAATAGTCTCTTTTTAGAAATAAAAATATGACACTCTTTTTTTGAGTATAAATCGTATAGTTTACCCTTATTTTGAGTGTGTTTTTAAAAGCATATAAAAAGAGAAAATTTTTCTAGAATAAGAGTAAAATAGTACTCTTATCAAAATACCAAAATAAGAATCTTAAATTTTTAAAAATTAAAATAAGAATTTGCAGTCATTATTTTATGATGTCACTGCCATATTCACAATATTGTTATATTGTCACCGCTACTAATTTTATTTTTTGCTTTCCTCACAAGTGGTGATGTGATCTTTTGGATGAGAGAAAGGGGGAGTTCTTTTTTTTTCTTTTTTATTTTCTCGCGGATGGGAACTAAGAAAAAATAAAACTTTCACACCGAAAAAGATTGGTTACATTTTCCTTACCTCTTTTATGAGCTTATAAATTGATTTTCTTTTCTTTAAATTGTGTTTATAGATCAAAGTTGATAAGGACTAGATTTTGCCTATTTTTACTCCTACGGTCCTACGAGATTTCCTTAGCCGAAAACAGTAAAATCAGAGCTAAAGCTTAGGGTTTTAGCATAACCGTTCTTTCTTTCCTGAACCCCAACCAAGAAGAAGATTTATTGGGTTGCTTGCTCCATTGCTTCAAAGATCTCCATTTTCTCAGGTGACTCGTTTCTTCGACCTTGAATTGATCCACCCACTAATTTTAGTCAAATGTTCAATTTGTCTCGCAAGTCATTTCCGCATTTGAGGCTCTCTGCTCATAGATCTTCGGCCACTGTTATAAAGTTCTACGCCACGAAATCTGGAGATGAATCCTTAGGCCCATCGAAGAAGAAAGATTCGTTCATAGTTTCTTATCTCGTAGACAGACTTGGGTTTGCTCCAGAAAAGGCTCTTTCAGCTTCCAACTATCTGAAGTTTGAAACCCTAGATAAACCCGAATCTGTGATTTCGTTCTTGAAATCTAATGGATTCACAGAAACCCAGATCTCAAAACTTGTCCGGAAGTGCCCTACAGTCATTTTGTCTAATCCCCAGAATACCCTTTTGCCCAAGATTGATTTTTTCAAGTCTTTAGGTTTCACAGAGGAAGATTATACTGTTATGCTCTCTGGATCCCCAGGTATTTTCACTAGAGGCTTAGAGAATACCCTTTCCCCTACTGTGGATTTCTTCAAGCAGTTCCTTTCTTCTCCTGATACACTAAAAGTTGCTCTGAAGCGGAGTTCTTGGACGCTTTCCTCGCCAGCCAGGTCTGCGATGAAGGATAATGTTCAACTTCTGATGGAAATGGAAGTGCCCGAATCAAGGATCGCGCATTATCTTCGTCACCAGCCTAGGATGTTCGCCAAGGAAAAAGACAGGTTTAGAAAGATTCTTGATGAGGTCAAAGGGATGGGGTTTGATCCTTCAAAAAAAACATTTCTATCTGCAGTTCACGTGTCGTGTTCCATGAATAAATCAACTTGGAAAAAGAAGATCAGTGTTTACAAGAAGTGGGGACTTTCGGAGGATGAGATTCTTCAAGTGTTTGGGAAGAACCCTTGGATTATGGCATGCTCTGAAGAGAAGATTGTGCTGGCAATGGACTTTCTAGTCAATAGAATGGGCTTCAAAGCTTCTGATATCTTGAGGACTCCAATGCTGATTTTTCTTAGCTTGAAGAAGAGAATCATTCCTAGATGTGTTGTTTATCAAACTTTGGTAGCTGAGGGTTTGTTAAAAAATGACCTAAAGCTACTTACTAGGATGTTAATCGTTCAAGAAAAGATTTTTCAAACGAAGTATCTGAAATGCTATGAGGAAAACGTTCCTGACCTTTTGAAGCTATATCAGGGAGCTACATCGCATGGATTCTTCAAACAAGTGTCGACCCAGTTCCCTACCCTGTCCCTATAATCCAAGGGTAATTAGTGCTTGAGTGGTTAAAAATTTGTTGGTCTAAGCACATTACTGCATCTTTTTTTAGGTTTCATGAAATTAAGTTCATCATTGAAGAGCAGACCGAATGTGAATCACGCTGTTTTCAAGAAGCCAAACCAATCTGCCACTCCTATCCCCATTCCCATTTTCAAGGTATTTTGATAGTGTTTACGTGTGTAGAAACTCATAGGTTCTATGGCCACTCACTTTGTTGGCCATGGAGGACACAACCCCTCTACATATTTCGTTTGCAAAATTGATAGTTCCTACTCCCCTAACCCCCCACCCAATCCCAACCCCAACCCATCCCTCCCCCACCCACGTCAGTTGTGGGGTGCAAGTTTACTTGACTTCGGGGTAAAAAAGTTTGGCCTCAAAGTCAACTGAACTTGCACCCCGCAATTGACGTAGATGGGGATGGGTTGGAGTCGGGATTGGGTGGGGGTTTTACCATAGGGGGTAGGAACAATCAAGTTTGCAAACGGAGCACCCTAGGTGTCCCAATTGAGTCAATGTCCTTCGTTGCCACTCAAACTGAGTGACCATAAAACCAGGCCGCAGTAGAAAGCGTTCTTTGTAGGTATTCGAGAGATTTTATACTCTAACACGCCTTTTTACATGCAGGGGAGGCATGTTTTTTGCTCCATTCTTGAATGTAAGCATTGAGTTTTCTTGAAATCGGGTGGCGGTCAATCTTAACTGATATCATTTAGGTCAACAAGATCCAAATACCATGTAAATGAGCCAATTCAATCAAAAGTTCAAGACTGTGATTGTAAGCTTGGGAAAAGTTTTATACTCTAATGTACTTAAATGTATGTTGGCTACTTGACTTTTAGTTTTTAATTAATATTCGTGTTATTGATTGAATTGGTGGAAAACCGTGCTTGATAAGGACTTCGGAGATTTTTATAACTATGTAATTTTTCCCCCCTCTTTAAGTATATCTATTTTGTTTCTTTAGAATAAAGTTTGGGTAGTGAACCCTCAAAAAGAAAAGGTTTGGGTGGTGAAATGTTTAGAGACGGCTGTCACTTCTCTATTTCCGCTGTTGCTTCTCTATTTCCGCTGTTGCTTCTCTATTTCCGTTGTTGCTTCTCATTTTCCCCCCTCCATCGCCGCTGTCACTTCTCTATTTCCGCTGTTGCTTCTAAACCATTATCGTCGTTACTTCTAAACCATTGTCACCGTCGATCGCAAATGTAGCCTCTCGATCACAGCTATGGCTTCTCAAATGTCTCCTCCCTCATCCAGATATTTCTACTCGACAGCAACTTAGACTTTAAGGGCTTTTTAGTACTCCCTCCGTCCCAATTTATAATGCCTGTTTCAGTTTACGATGTTTGACTGAAATTATTTTCAAATCATTTTATGTAATGAATAGTATAAATTAAAAAAAAATTACATATTAAAATACTACATCAAAAGATCTACAAAACTAGTTGTGACAATAGTACTTTATTTTATCAAATTGCTAACAAAAATAGAGAAAGAAAATGAATATAGTTTGACCTTGTGAATAGTAAACAGACACTATAAATTGGAACGGAGAAAGTAACTTCCTTTGTTTATTCCCTTCTCCTTGGTATTTGAGTCAAAATGAAAGTAGACATAATAAACAGCAGGACGGAGGACTATTAATGAGTACAATTTAGGCCCCCACTTTATTTTGGCTCCCAAAATATTTGCTTTTTTTCATTCAAATAGGTCTTTCAAAAGCATAATAAGAAAATTATCAAAACAAAAAAGTCATCATGTCATATTAAGTTATAAGAGCACAACTTTGAGGCAAGCATTGACAAAATCTAAGCTGGTAAAATGAGTGGTAAATTCACTCCCATAAGCTTTTGAAACAACACAATATGTGTCCCAAATATTTACTTTACACTACTATGTATACATAGAATTCACAAACAAAACAAGAGAGATGGGAACCTCTAATTTGGGAGTTTTAGATTATCTTTTAATGGTATAGATTAGCTTTGAAAGTGCTAAACTAAATGCTGCCATTGGATAGCATTTTGGAAACACTAAAGTTAAATGGTAAAGTTGATGCCAAGCGGTGCCTAAAACAGTGGCAGAAGTAACATCACAGAGGAGTCCAGTGCAAAGCATAATAATCCTCAATGAAGAAACATCAGACGAATTGCTTTAGAAACTCCGTAGCCACAAGCCTCCCCCGGGTGTTAACAGACAATTTCAGCTCGCTGATCTCCTTCTCAATGTCCTGTCAAACCGAAGCAAACATACCGAGAAAATGAGTCTTGGAGGGCAAGATGTACACAAATATTATGCCTACCTCAAAAACAAGACGTTAGAACAAATTGAATGAAAATATGACCAACAATTTGTACACTAAACCCCAAAAAAATGGTGGAAAAAATTGTATCCCAACACACTTCCATTTCATTGTTGCCAGTCGATTTACAAAATAAGGTTGATTTTATTGTATCGGCCAATTTTAGATTCCTATGGAAAGTATGGAGTACAGAGAATTAGAGGATCAGCCACTCCGTAAAGAAATTTCTATTCCAAGTTTACCTGAATGTTCCAAACTTTCTATTAAAGAGTAATATATCATTTTGTAGATATATCTAAGTATACCTAGTAAATGACATTCTTAATCCATTTCTATAAAAGTGCATTAATTCATTTTTTACCAATAAAACAAAAAAGGTGTAACATCCATTTATTTATTACCAAAAGAGATAGAATAAAGATGCAATAAAATGCAGACAGTAAAATAAATAGTTGTGTTCTTAGAGCATCTTCAATGGCCAGGACCATCTTGGATCTCAATTGTGGTCCCACAAATTGCCATGATAAAAACATACTTCAATTTTTTATTTTCAATGCTATGGTCCCACATTGGGTCCCAAGTGACTTAAAACATCCAATTTAATTATAAAACAAGGTAGAAACAATTAAAAAAATTACTCCGCAATAATTAATAAAACAATTGGGACGGTCCCTCCAAGTTGAGACTGTCCCAAATTTTGTACTCATTAAATGGAGTGAGACTTAGATTGGAGCCCCAAATGATTGCCACGTAGGAAAGAGAAAAGACTCGGGTCTAGCATTGGAGATGCTCTCAATTACCTCATTCTTCTCCCCCAAAAGGACGAGGAAAAACACTATAAAACACAATTGATCTTACGGTTCTTACCTCCAGGAACTGTACTATAAAATCAATAAGTTTCTGCTTCTGCATTTCCTCACAATGATAATTAGTTATGAGAAAACTTATGTCGTAGCCCTGAAAGATTAAAGACAAATCAGACGGTTTAATGCAAGCAACGATGTACAGCAGCAACTAGATAAATATTTATCATCAATTTAAGCGTTGTGTTTGTTTGGAATCAGTAAAATAGTAGGGTAAGTGGGAATATGCCAAGAAAAATAGTTTTTAATGACTCGTTTTACCATGAAAAATGCAAGAAAAATCAAAGTCTATTCAATTTTTTTTAGATTCTTCTTTTATTTAGATTTGTTAGTTTTTATACAAAAAACAACATTACCCCAGTGCCTCAAAGGCTTCTGCCCTTTGCGGGGTGGGGGGGGGGGGTCAGATGCACGCAAACTGACCCCTATGTTTAAAACATAGAGCGGCTGTTTCCAGATGACCCATGACGAGCTTCAAAAGTTGCATTGACTAACTGCTACTTCACTATTGAAAGAAGATCAGATAGTTTAAAGAGCCATTTGTTTTATTCTATCATATCCCAAAGGCAAAAAACAGTGAATCTAAGGCTCCATCGGAAATGATGGTATTATTTAGTTTTTTTATACAAGAGATATGAATAAAAGTGAGTTTAAATAAATATCTGAAATAGAAATATTAATTTTGAGCATAACTTTGATTTTCCCCAATTTTCTTTCCTTCCAAATTTCCAACCTGTTTTCTATAGATGGCATTTTATTGGATCCCAACTGGCCCAAAATGCAACAAGCATTCAAAACACCAGGATATTTATATTATTGGATTATTATGTACAACGACAACAACCAAACTCAATATAATCTCAACCCATTAATGTCGGGGTCAAGATGTACATCGTACACAACCTTACTCATGTAGAAAACAAAGAAGCTGTTTATGTTAAACATTTGATGCATTGTTGCATTTAATACTTAAAACATTGTCAATAAGGACTCTTTTAGTTCCATACTTCCATTGATGGTGGACCCAATAAATTACTTTTTTGAATTCAAACTCTGAAGACCTCAAATATACATGTTCATTCCTACTACATGCTAAGTTTATATATTCCTTCATGACTAGTACATATGGTTCTCCAATGAACCATGTGGAAAGAGAACATATGAGAGTAGTGCAAATAATTTGGATTGTCTGTAAAAATTTGGTTCAATCTAATGCATGTAGAAAATTAGAAGAAAACAACACATACCTGCACTGGCTTTCTTCTAAGTACCTGAAATGCCTCTGCTCTCATTGACAAAAATCTAAGGAACTTTTTTGCCAATATGTTTTCAAGTTCATCGGCCTGCTTCACCTATAATAACGTAAGAGGAATTGAATTTTTCAGTCTCCCATTCAACTAAATACTTCCCATTTTATGACACTATCGAATTTCACCTTTGTGCTATGGACACTGAAATAAATCAAATCCACCCCTCAAAAAGATGGGGGAGAGGGGATCTAAAAAGCTCGATAGCATTGCTCTTATAACAACCACTATTTACAACATTCAAACAGAAATTTCAGAAATCTCAATGCTAGGTATCACATTTCAACGTGGTAAACAGAGCATTATGAGAGGGAAGAGCTCCCACAGAATGAGGTTTTGAGAACATCTTGATCCGGAGTAGTTAAAGTTTTAGTGGATATAAGGTGATTCAAGTCCCCGATGGCTAACTACCCACCCCCAACACCCAAAATGTCAATTTTATCCTTCAAAGATGCACATACCAACCTTTCGGATTATATTTAACATTTTCCTTTTTCTAATGGGATACAAAAACATGGAACTTCAAAATTCTAATATACCAAAAAAATTGTATTAATTTCATGTGGCTGAACCAAGAGACATGTATTGAATAGTCTAAAGAGTCAGAGAATGAACCTCTAACGAAATTATTAGCATGGAACCTCCTTTTTTTGCTGCTAAACCCTCTAAATATGCATAATCATTGCATATATAAGCATTGTGTTCTTTTCTCTTCTTTTGATGTGTCGCGTAAGAAGTGTAAGGAAACATTCAAGTAAATAGAGCGACTTATTGGTAAGATATTTCCATGAAAACATGGGGCGGAACAAATAGACGGGCTCGTGGAACGCCTTGTGCATAATCACTTAAAATGTAGAGGAAACCAAGAAATTGAAATCAGATTTATACTGAACTCTATGGCCTATGGATTCTGAAATTTTGAGGAGTACGCATTGTTTGCAGATGATCACCATCGTGTAACTATTCTAAGGATGACTTGAATATATGTACTGAGAAACAAAATCGGGGATATGCACATTCCTATAGTCTTACTGGTACCTTGAGGCTTATCCTCAGTGAATTGATAGAGGTTTCTATTAAGCATTTTTCAGCCTCATTTCGACAAATCAAAACCTGCCAGATAGTAAAGACGGATTCAATATTCAAAAGAGAATACCTCAATGTGATTTTTAAATGGTAAGCTAGGGAAAAAAACTCAAAATTATGTGTGTTTTTATAAGTTACACAACAGGTTTAAATATCTGTAACTCTGTAAGAGATGACGAGGCACAAATCAAAAGCACCAATGCTTATCCAATGGACAGCAATAAGAAAAACAATTTGAACTTAGATGAGCTCTTACAGGATTAAGTAGAAGTTCTTGGCTGGTCCTGAATATTAGACAACATTAAATAAATTAGAATGCGTCTAAGTGCATAGCTGAACACAGAATTGGACATCTCAGATATAGAGAGAGCGGGGGGGG